AACTTGACCTGTATTTTCTCATGACATATCCATATGTCAATTTTGAATTGAATGTTTTGAACCGTTTGGGAGATAATGAACGGAAACTGAAAATTTCATATTATTTTCAATGCAAAAGGGGCATAACTCTGCCAAAAATCATCAAACCATGACCAATTTCGAACTTGACCTGTATTTTCACATGACATATCCATATGTCAAATTTGAGTTCAATATGTGCAAGGGTTATTAAGATAATGAACGGAAACTGATGATGACGGAAGGACGGAAGGACGGAATGACGGAATGACGGAACAGGGTAACACTATATGTCCCTGCCATTATATGGCGGGGGCATAAAAAGTATGCGAACAAACATAACTAAACGTTTATAAAGATACTGTACATGTTCATTGTTTACTGAAAGTTATTTGGGAAGAGATTTGGCATTTAAAGTGACATTTTTTCATTGTGGAGCTGAGGTTAATTGACTATATATAAATTATTTCAAAGATTGACTCAGACTGTTATAATTGTGACCAAACGTGAAGATTCAGGGAAAAGTATGACAAAATAACTGTGTTAATCATTTTAGACTTAATAGCATATTATGCATCGGTAATTAACACATTTCTATTGAAAGTAAATAATGTTGTAGTAATTGATTTAGAACATGGGAGATGCTCATCACCTGAATAAAATAGTTTTGAATGTGAAATACATTGTGGTAAAGGTAGTAAAAATGTAAACAAAGTGGTTTTATGACTTCCATACAAAACAATTAAGAGCTGTTGGTAGGACAGCACGCTCGACTATTCTAAGTGCTTGATAGTAAAAGAGCCTTAATAATGTTAAATTTTTTAAGTTCACAAAAGGGCTAATTTTTTTTTATAAATTCATGTTATAGGCCTTAGAGAGAGTCTAATTATACAGTATTGGCTTGACTATTCGGAAGGTAATGTCACAAGGGTGTTTTATTGAGTATAATAATACTAATTACCTATGAATACATAAATTTGACAGAAAAGGTACAAAGGCTTGTTATTAAGATGTTTTATCAAGTAAATCACTGCTTTATTATTATGAATGCGTAAAATTGTCCCAAAAAAGGCACAAACCCTTCAGTAGTTATTGAGATAACAGCTTACAAACAAAACTTTACCATGAATTTCTAAGTTGAAAAAGGAGAAAAAAATCAGCCTAAATGCAAGCTTTGTCAGTGACCTACAATTATGACCCTAAATGTGAAGTTTTAAATAAATATCTTTAATAGTTATAGAGATATGTAAAATTGTTACTATAAAAAAAGTATTTTAAATTTCAAGTGAATATCTCAAGCAATAATTGAGATATTTGACTTTACAAAAAAACTTTAACCAAAATTTCTAAGTTCCAAAGGAGCATAATTCTGTCATTATTGTAGGCAGAGTTATCCAACTTGTCAATCTGATGTACTTTGTTACTATAAATAAGTATTGTAAGTTTCATTTGAATATCTCGAGCAATAATTGAGATATTTGACTTTACACAAAACTTTAACCAAAATTTCTAAGTTAAAAAGGGGCATAATTCTGTCAATATTGTAGGCAGAGTTATCCAACTTGTCAATCTGATGTACCTGGTTACTATAAATAAGTATTGTAAGTTTCAATTGAATATCTCAAGCAATAATTGAGATATTTGACTTTACAAAAAACTTTAACCAAAATTTCTAAGTTAAAAAGGGGCATCATTCTGTCAATATTGTAGGCAGAGTTATCCAACTTGTCAATCTGATGTACCTTGTTACTATAAATAAGTATTGTAAGTTTCAATTGAATATCTCAAGTAATAATTGAGATATTTGAATTTACAAAAAACTTTAACCAACGCAGACGCCGACGCGGACGCCAATGTCGGGGCGACTACAATAGCTCTCATATTCTTCGAATAGTTCTCAGTGCCCAAACCCAAAAGAAACAAGACCCATGTTAACATGGCCATCCTCCGCCAAATGTGTTTGCTCATTGAAAAAATGTATATGTAGTAGAGCAGAAAATTCAATTTTAAGAGGTCTTTTGGTATAAATGAAAACTGATGGCTGAAGTGAATACAGATTTGAAACCTATGTGAATACTGATGGCTGAAAATAACAAAAGGACAATAACTGAAAAATAATGCAGGGTAGGTTATTATTCTTGTGTGCTGCACTCCTCAATGAGATCTATCCACCTATGAAGTTTCAAGTTGATACCTCTAACACTTTTTGAGATAAGCTCCGAGCAAAAAGTATGAAAAATAACATACGGCAATAACTCAAAAATTATAAAGGGTAGAGTTATCATTCTTGCGCACAGCATTCCTCCTCAATAAGATCTATCCTAATATGAAGTTTCATGTTGACATCTCAAAGACTTTTTGAGTTATGCTCCATTCAGGTGAAAAACTATGTATGAAAAATAACAAAGGGCAATAACTAAAACATTATGAAGGGTAGAGTTTATCATTCTTGTGCACTGCACGCCTCCTGAGTGAGATCTATCCACCTATGAAGTTTTCAAGTTGATATCTCTAACACTTTTTGAGATAAGCTCCGAGCAAAAAGTATGAAAAATAACATAGGGCAATAACTCAAAAATTATAAAGCGTAGAGTTATCATTCTTGCGTGCAGCATTCTTCCCCAATAAGATAAATCCATCTATGAAGTTTCATGTTGACATCTCAAATATTTTTTGAGTTATGCTCCACTCTGGTGAAAAATTACATATGAATCAAAGTGCTGCAGCACTGAATGCGACGGACATGCAACCGGAGAGACAATAAAGATTTTTTTTAAGAAAAAAAACCCACAAAAGATATAACAGAGAAAATTTGTTCCATACAAGTTCGAGATTTGTAGAGTAATATATTTTATGTGTCCCAATCTGATATAATTATGATTTTCTACTTTCAAGCAGAACAAGTCCAAATTTTTAAATACAGAATGAAATTTATGCATAAAAACTCTGGTCAAACTTGTAAATCAGTGTTCTTATCGATTTATTCCAAGAAATGATATGTAAATAGAAAAAATACTGTCAACGAAATATTTCTGAAATAAAACCATGCAAATAAACTTCAATCATAATACAGAATACATGTGAGAATGTAAATTAGAATTGCTTCGTGTTATATCATAGGGGGCATATAGACAATAAAAGATAAGTCATTTTTATTTTTATTTCTCTTGGATATGTCTCATTAAAAATATTTTTGGTTAAAATCATCAGCAATAAATGGTGTATTTTATAGATTTTTTTTTTCATTTACGTCACTTAAGCACTACAGTGTTTAGTTGTCCCTTTCAATTTCACACTAAATCCCATTTTCAACTTGTTTGCTTCTTACAATTTTATAGAATTTCTTAAAGTATTTCATGTAAACAAAGTAAGTATCCGCGGCACAGATGATGCTCTAATCTATTTTTAGAATAGTGTTATCTTCTGGTCGAATGCTATTATAATCTCATACAATCTCATAGCAGGTTAAATCATATCGTGACCTAGAAAACTTTGTAAACAAAACACAAGAATCGGAAGTAGAACTGATATTATAACTTCCTTCAATAAAGATTACCATGAAAGACTACATGGTGGTAAAGTGTTGAAAAACTCCCTTGTTACATGCATTTTCAAAAATAGATATTTATAATACTAACCATTGTACTGTAGTCTAATTTATTAATAACTGCTGGATATTCAGCTAAACCCGCGGTATGAGTCACGAAAAGAGTTCTTCTTTTATTAATGCGCGAGTTATTCTAAAGTCACGAAAAACTTTTGATCTGTTAATAAAAATTTTTTTTTTAATGGGGAAATATTTATTTCCTGCTTATAATTTCTATGAATTATTAAGCTTACTCCTTAATTATAGCATAATTTGTTGTCCTACTTTTTCGACAGCGGTAAATCGTTTCAGCAGTAATTTGCATAATTGCGCAATAATACTACGGGGCTACAGCGTTTTTATCAATCAAATACGTTTATATTTTAACTTGATAAACTTAATTTGAAATTGAAAAGGCTAAATATGGAAGTTTTTAAGATATCCCGACGAAGTATGTGAGTTTCATAGGATCAAATTCATGTACTATTTCGTGGGCTGTTATTCGGTTGAGGACACATTGCGCGATTGTAGCCGACGAAATCCCATGTGTAGATGACATAGCTCTGAACGCGCCTGAGGGCGCGTCCGTCGCAAAAAGAACAAAGGGCAATAACTCAAAACTCATTAAGGGTAGTTATCGTGATTGTGTACTGCACACCTCCAGAGTGAGATATATCCACCTATGAAGTTTCATGTTGATATCTCAAAGGTTTTCCGAGTTATGCTCTAGACAAAAATTAAGTTTGAAAAATAACTAAGGGCAATAACTCAAAAATTATACAGGGTAGAGTTATCATTCTTGTGCACTGCACTCCTCCTCAATATAATCTATCCACCTTTTAAGTTTCAAGTTAATACCTCAAATACTTTTGAGATATGCTCCAGAAAATATATAGGATGGAAGCACGGCCGTTCTAACAAGACAGTAATAAATTAATTGTGGCGACTCTATTGTTCTCTCTATTGTTCTTTTTAACCATACAATAGAAAATAGTCGCATAAAAGTATTATTGAATGAATGACATCAAAGAGAAAGATCAGTTACCTATTGTCCCTCTAGCCACATTAGTACTGTACAGTGAGAGCAGACGGACAAGCGGACGGACGGAGACTAATCATACCTTTATCCGACCTTTTCTTTCAAACCCCCATCCAGTCATTATTTTAGTCACAGATAGGCAGACATTAACTGAACTGCCAAATTTTCCTACAGCTAGCTAGCTGTATAACTTTCTTACATAAAATTATTTTCTTTTTCTTTCTATCTAATATAAGGTGGTTACGAGAAAAGAACAGCAAAACATGTATTATCTTCTGATATAATTTTATAAAGTATGATATGGGCTTGCTTTAGAGTTTGTATGGTATATAGAGTGTAGAGATAAGATTAACTGTACCAATGAACACATTAATTATATCTATTTTTAGTTAAAAATTTCAGAGTGTTTGGTAAACAGGGACAAATTTAAACTCCGTAATAAAAAGTTATAATCGGACCTTATTCTTCTAGTGTTAAGCAGACATCGTAATTTTAAATTTAATTGAAAAATGAAATTTCTTCTCTTTATACTCGTTATCATTGGTAACTTGAATGTGTATCTTGCCAACAATGATAATTGTGGAGTAAATGATCTGAATGCGTTAATGGTACGTCTGCTACAACTTCGAACAGAATTTAACAACTTTAAAATCCAGCATGATGAACAGATAGCAGTTCTCAAGGAAGAGATCAATAATAAATCTTTAGAAATAAAACTCATCAACGAAGAAAACAGAAAACAAGAAACAGAACTTGAAGAACTAAGACAAGATGTCAACAATAAATCTTTAGAAATAGCGGCAATATCTAAAGATATAGAAATGATCAAAGGTATTGTATTAAAACATTTATTCTAAGATGGTCCACAGTGCTTAAAGGGGACTCGGCACTGGGGTATTTTTTAACATGGAGGGGTCAGAACTTTTTCTTCAAGATATTTATTTATACCATTTGATGTAGGTCTATACCAATACTATGTACAAAATTTCAGAACATTTTCTCACTAACTTTTTCCATAGTTATCATTTTTATTAAGCGCAAAATGACTTAAAAATGAAAATTAAAACTCAAATTAGGCTTAAATAGCTCTTAAAATCAATTTTCTGTTTATTTCTGAGTATATTTCTTCATAATTATATTTCCATTTTAGATTCCCCTGTTGATTTATGTAAGATTTTAAAATTTTATGTCTTTAAGGTTTTGGACCTCAAAGAAGCTTCTTTTAAAATGTTCAGTATTAATAATAATGAACTGTTTTAACACTTCTATTGATTTATTATACTAATTATCTTCAGCAGGGGGACAGCAAACTAGGTATTATTGTACAATATCAGTTATTCAGTGGACATGAAATGTACCCTTTGAAAACTTGACCTTAAAAACTGACCTCGACTTTTTGCGTAGCAACCCAATATTTAAACTCTACACATCGTCTCATAATAGTGATTACTTGTTCCAAGTGAATTTCAAAAAATGTTCAGCGGTTAAAAGTTTAATGTAGCGGACATGAAATGCAGACTTTTTAACACTTGTTCCAAGTTATTTCAAAATGTTTTTAGTGGTTTAAAAGTTATAAAGGGGACACAAAAGTATTACGGAAGACAGATGGATGTTCAAACGAGACACTGTAACAAGCAAAATCGTTGAATTTATATCCCACACCGAGGACTGGTTATAACTAACACAACAACTGGAGGCTTTATTTACATACATTTATCATGGCATGCAAATTTACTTATCATATGTATGGTTCCCATAAAGTATTGTTGAAATTAATCCAGCAGTTGAAAAGAAATAGCAATATTGGTCTATTATATACTACTCAAATAATCAAGGGCCATAACTCTGTCTTAAAGGGTCAGACCGGAACAAGACAATGATGTGTATCTCCCCTTGGTATTGATGGTTCCCATAAAGTTTCATTGAATTCCAGCCAGAACTTGCAAATGATTATTGCTCTATATGCATTACTGCATAACTAATTAAGGGCCATTACTCTGTGTTGAAGGGTCTGACCAGAAAAAGGCAATGATATGCAAATCTCCTCTTAGTATTGATGGTTCCCATAAAGTTTTGTTGAATTTCAGCCAGAAGCTGCAGAGAAATAGTGCGAAATCGATTATTGATTTACATACATACTACACAACTAATCAAAAGCCATAACATTTGTCTTGAAAGGTCTGGCCAGAACAGTTAGCTAGGCAACCATTTGCGCATCTCCTCTTGGTATTGATGGTTCCCATCAAGTTTCATGGAATTCCAGTCACTTAAAGTTGCTGAGAAATAGCACAGAAATGATTAATGATATACATGAATACTGCATAACTAATCAAGGGCCATAACTCTGTCTTGAAGGGTATGAACAAAACAAGGTGACAATATGCGCATCTCCTCTTAGTATTGATTGTCCTCATAAAGTTTAGTTGAATTCCAGCCAAACTTTGCAGAGAAATGGCGCAGATACAATTATTGCTCTATATGCATACTGCATAACAAATCAAGGGCCATTACTTTAAGTTAAAGAGCCTGACTGGAATGCATCTCCTCTTGGTATTGATGGTTCTCATACAGTTTTGTTGAATTCAAGCCAGTATTAGTTGCAGAGAAATAACACGAAAACAATTAATTTTTGATATGCATACTACATAACTTATCAAGTGCCATAACTCTGTAATGAAGGGACTGACCAGAACAGGAGGCAATGATGTGCGCATCTCCTCTTGGTATTGATAGTTCCCATAAAGTTTTTTTGAATTCCAGTCAGTAGTTGCAGGGAAGTAGCGAGGAAACGATTATTGCTCTATATGTATACTGCATACTACTAATCAAAGGCCATAACTCTAAGTTTAAGGGTCTGTCCGGAACAAGACGACGATATGCACATCTCATCTTAATATTGATGGTTCCCACAAAGTTTTGTTGAATTCCAGCCAATAGTTGCAGAAAACTAGCAAGAAAACAAAATTCGGACAGACGGATGGATGGACAAAGCCAAAACATTATTGGCGATTGAAAGAGTGGCCTTTATTCTTTTCCATTTCAGTACTCGTATATTAAATTTGTTTCTTCGGATTTGTTTAATCATGCTATAGTTCTTCCTAATTCCAAGAAAATCAAGTACCAGATTCCACATGTTTTTGGTTTCCTTTAGACGTTTCTATGGAGATAACTTTTGTATATTCATAGATATAGACGATTGCAGTCCAAACCAATGTCAGAACGGGGCAACGTGTGTTGATGGAGTTACTTCTTACACATGTTTATGTGTAGCTGGATACAACGGAACTTTATGTGAAATAGGTAAACATATATATATATCGATAATAACCTAATATATTTAATATTTTTACCTCATTGGTTTATACTAATTGGTTTTAGTTTTTATTTTGTTGGAAGCTATATGCTTTAAAATTATAACACTCTCGAATTCGTTCCTGGAACCAATGCCCGCTCGTTTCACCTTATCGATCCTGCCCATCTAGGCTGGTTATTATTTTTAATTAATACACTTTAATTGTTTAGCTTTGATTGTTCAAAATGAAGCATTTTTCTTCCCTTTTTTTCCATATGTAAAGATATAGATTCCTGTAGCCAGAACCCATGTCACAATAGAGCAACCTGTATTGGCAGAGTAAACACATACACAATGTGACTGTGTCATTGGATATACAGGGGTTCATTGTGAAATTGGTAACTAACTCTTATTTCAGACTTTTTTTTTTGTTAAACTGGTCAAATGTTTAATTACTTAGCAATATAATCCTGATCGTCTGGTTCAAAGATATTCTTGTTCTGTGACCAGATTACCACCGACTACTACTCTTATTAAATTATCACGGTTTATAACAGGGGCGTAACTGAGCTATTTTGAAATGTACAGCTTAACTAGGGGGGTTCGGGGGCATGCTCCCCCGAGAAAATTTTTGAAAGAAGAAGCGATATCCTGGTATTTCGTGACTATCTAGAGGCTATATTGACAACATATTGGTGATGATTTCAAACTCTTTTTATTAATTTTCAAATATGTAAAATGAACAAGTACGTATTTATACCTTAAAACTTTTCTTATATTTATAATTGATATTTTTGCAGCACAAATTTTTTATTTTTCAACCTTCAAACTGATGTTATAGCAACAAATCTCGTGTATTCAATAAATTTTAAACTGAAAAAAAAAACCAAACAAAAACAAACACTAGACGTCTGTTTTGTTGGTATGCAAAGTTGTCTACTCGCCCTTTTTAAACATTTATGAGACCTAGACAAGACATACGCTCAGTGTCTATAGTACGTACTTCTGACGTTTAAGTTCAGTTGTTTCCGAGAACTGACATGACCACTAAAAGGGTCAAACAATGCCTCACGTTTGGGTACAGAGCCTTGCTTCCTTCAGTAAAGCCGGGGCCGCTGGACTTTACGTTAGCCCAGCACATACGCCACAGCTAACACAAACATGGGTTTATTCTGAATACTTTATGACACGAAATAAACGTATGTTGACGCTATTATAACATAAAATATTAAAACAGATTCATGATGTTTATTTAATACAAAACACATGCATTTAATCCTTGTGCTTGGACAGTATTTATCCAAATACTACTACCAGGCTCGGGCACCAACCACCGTTACTCGGGAATCTGCAGACGTTATAACATGGGAAAACGTGCGTTAACCGTATAATATGCATGTAGCTCTTATATGGCGTATAGACATCGCCGCTTATATATCAAAAAGTACATGCAAAGATATTTTAAAATCTCCTTTAAAAAATGTCACTAAATTAATCAAAATTCGTTGCGTATAACATACATGTAGACTATGTGGAGTTAACTATAAAACTCATGTGAATACATTAAAGAATTCATTTAAGATATTTTGTGATAAAGTAAATTCTTTAGTAGATATGTGACTTTAATAGTGATATAACTGCACATGGAACTTGATTGATGACTCATAGCAATGTTTAACTGACCACAAAGAATAATTATCTTACCAACTTATACAAGAACCTTTAAAATAAATGCATACAATTGAGATGGAATTTTACACTCTTTATCTTATTCTGCCTTTTCGGCACGATTAAGTAATTCTCTACAGCAATCAATTGATTAATATGCCATGAGAACTTTGCATGTCTTGCAACTTTGAGAAATTACACCAGTTTGTTACAAGTTGAAAAAAAAACAAACATACAAGGCGATGTTGGCAGAACGTTAACGCAGCCCCCTTCACAATCCAGCCACACAAACAGAGTACCCAGAAGACACCCAACCAAAACCAAAAGAGGACACAAAAGGGCCAACATAAAGGGTTAAGGGTTTTGGAAAAATTACTGCGGGCGACCTGCTAGCCAAATAAACATATGCCGCCAACGCTCGGGCATTATCTTGGCCAAGATATCGCTATATAGATCATTTTAAAAGATATTAATTAATACTGGATATGTTATGAATTTTGTTTTATATAATGATAGAAAAATTAGTAGGCCTATATGAATATATGTTGCCCAGACCACTCTACCCCCTCTGTTTTTATCACTTTTTTAGATCTTTTAGCGCATGTTATTTTTCGGAATACAGGATTGATTTGTACGCACGGGCATACAGGAGTACGCCTAGTTACGCCCCTGTATAATATAATATTTTATTATTGTCTGAAAGAATTACTCCTATTTTCATAATCAATCAAGTTCATCTATTATACATTCTTCCAATTGTTTCTTTGTGCTTACAGACAAATTATATCTTATTGTCATGATTGTGCTTAACAAATTATTATATGAACAATCCATGCTCATATTCAAAGGGGATATTCATTGGTTGGTTCCTTGTTTTTAATATTATTCCTTAAATACACCTTAAAGGGATATTCAGGCAAAATAGTGACAAAACTATCAAAATGATCTTATGTACTCAAATCACGCTAAAATGACATTTCTTAAAGTTCAAGCATGTATTTCTGTTTAAATTCTACATATTTTGGGTTTGAAGCATAAATATATTTATTTTATTGAACAAAATTTAGATGCCAATAAAATCACCCAATAGTTTTAAAACAAGTCATGTCAATTGAATAAACCCTTAGAGTTACAATAACAGATATTGTGGATATTGTAGGATTGAAACAAGTCTGTCATTCATTTGATATGTTCTTTAACGTTTCCAGACTTCACCGTGACAACTTTTGTGAAATCCCAGTGCTCTAACCTGACCCACGCGGGTCAAGTTAGGAAACCACCATTTTATTCTTTATCTGGAGAAAAGTTTTCTTCTTTTGACTGTCTAATGTATTCATTTTGGCGGCATTTACAGAATAATGAATGAAAAATCCAAAACTAAGAAATGAAAATTTTGCCTGTGTCTCCCTTTAATATTGAAGTGGGGGTCCGCATGCTTGCTCTTTGTGACGGTGTCAGAATAATTGTACAGTTTTACTGTAGATATATCTTTACGAGTTAATTTTCTCAACAGCGGTACACTGAAGTGTATCATATTTCAATGTGCAGTTTTATTTATAAACATGTTGCTGTGCGTATATTAAACTTGGTTTACATGTAAATGTCAAATTGTTAGAACAAAAAATATGCGAGTTTTACATAAGTTTAGGAGAGACACTAAGATAATGTCTAGCGTTTATTTATTTTTTGTTGAGAAGAGAATTTGTTGTTTTGAAGGGAGTTTTGTTGATTTGTTGAAGTTGGTTGAATGTTACTGTGGTAATCTTAATTGATCAGGGTGTATTGGTTGTAATTAATTGTTTTGGTTGTTGAGTTATATTTGTTTGGTAATAAATACTTGGTTACAATTGGTTGAATGTTTGGAGTGAGTTTGTTATATTAGTTGATGCCTTGTTTATGACGATATCTGTAAATATTGGGTGCTTTAGTTTGCTTTTCTGATGCTGATTAGATTTTGTGAAGTTAATATTGTTGGTTGAATGTTTGTGGTTTATACTGTATAGAGTTGTAAAAAATATTCATTTTTGTGTTCTCCATTTTGTGGTGACTTTATTGTTTTGTTTGATCATAAGTTGTTTATAGAGTTTGGGCTCCCCAGGTGTCTAGTATTGTTTCGTATAAAAGACGTATAGGTGAAAAAATATTTTGTATAAGTGGTTGATAAATGATGTGTGTTTGATTTTGGGATAATTTCCTTGATTCTATGTCTATATTGTAAATATATACAGGGTTAATTCGTACAGACATCCAATGGCAAAATTTAAGGACTTTTTAACCACCATTTAAGCATGTTTCCTTTTTTTCAAGCACATTTGTTGCACATAAACTGACACAATCTTTAACCTAAGATGGATACTTTATTCACCATTTTTTGTTGAATACACATTTTCTGACCACAATTATATGGAATTTATAGAAGAACAACAAAGGGCACATCAAATAAAGATAAGTTCAAAACAACTGCAATTTGTCCACTTACTGTTACCTTGAGTAAACATTTCACTGATTTCGATACTAAACTGGATCATTCTTTTTATTTTGTTAACCGTTGATTTTTATCGAAACTATGTCATTCTGTGATTCAAACATTTTTAAGCACATTTTCAGCAAATTGAAGCACTTTGTAAGCACGTTTCAAGAAAGTAATCAAATTCAAGGACTTTTAAGCACTTTTTTTAGAAATGGACTCAAATTTAAGCACTTTTTAAGACTGTATGAACCCTAATTTTGCATCAGTGTGCAACAGCAAGGCTTGTTGGTCAAAGGTCAGGGTCACAATTAGATTATGAAATTTTTCTTCATAACAATGCATATTGCTTCTCGTTAAGGTTAAATACTTTTGTGAGCTTCACATAACACAAATTGAAATTTGCAAATTTTCACTAAATCAAGGGCAAAAATCTTCAAGCAAAACCCCAGGTGCACAATTACACATGCTGAGCAACATTCCTGTAAGGTTTCATGACTCTAGGTCAAATACGTTTTGACATATGTGCGACACACGAGTTAAAAATTGTAAATTTTAACTAAGTCAAGGACAATAACTCTAAAAATACTAAACATATCCACATGGAAATACCCAGGTGCACAACTACACATGCTGATAAACATTCCTGTAAAGTTGTATGACTCTAGGTCAAGAGCTACATACGACACAAGTTGAGAATTGCAATATTTACTAAGTCAAGGGCAATAACTCATAATAAAAAAGAATAAATCCACAAGCAAAACCCCAGGTGCACAACTATGCTTGCTGATTGTGACGGAATTATTCTTGAAACCGTTTTTTTTTCTGTTTTTCTTTAAAGCCATGTTCAGGGGATATTTTCCTTGATTCTATATAACAATGCATATTGCTGCTCGTGTCCAGCCACAACAATTAGGATCCTTGTATGGATTTTTAAAATACATTCATGGGTGTTTCTTTTTAAATATTTGGGCATAGTGAAAATATTAGAAGTGCTTGTTTAAGTTTCTTTCTTCACACGTGTAACATTCTTGTTATAGTACCATGCTTAATTGTAAATCAAAGGTAATGGTTCCTTTGCTAGGCACAGCTTCATCGGCATTTGTCAGTGTTTCCATTGACAAAGTTCTTTCCATAGATTGTTGACAAATGTCTTTTTGCTATCAAAAGTGTCTAAATGTATCAATTATGTTTAATTAGTATTGTATGTGTGTTTAAGTATTATCTAAGTGTTATCTTCATCTATATGACGGGGAGTCATACTAACCACTTGGTGGTTCAATGACAATTGTAGAACTGTAAACAAAGGGTGGTCAGGAAAAATTAAACAATGTTTACCCCACTTCTAATGTTTGTTTGAAAACTTTTTTTTCTTTTTTTTTGCAAAATATAAACTTATCTATGAGTTATATTAAACAGATATTGACGAGTGCACTCCTGATCCATGTCAGAACGGGGCAACATGTACAGACGGCGTTGACTCTTATACGTGCACGTGTGTCAACGGATATGTAGGAACTTATAATTGTGAGACAGGTAATACAAGTTGTTAGATAAGTTTTAAATAAAGTTCTTATAGTCAAAACTTAAGCCTTCAGTGGGTTTTTAGAATCATGCTGTAACTTCAATATATAAAATAAAAATTTAAGTAGAAAGCTAAAATGCTAATGTAAAATCAAAAACAACAAATGCCATTCAAGCCAATTTGAAATATTTCATTCACCACTAACTTGAAGAAATTATGTTTTACTTAAATTATAATAACCATGTACAAAAAAAACCCAAAAAAAACACCCATTTTTCAATAAAAAAGAATCGTCATTCACCCCCACCGCTGGAAGAGATGTTTACTTGGACTTTTACATTAATGCTATTACGGAAGAAATATTGCAATCCAGTATCATTAATAAACACAAACGTTATAGTAATATAACCAAGTCTGAAATGGAGTCGCTACGTAAACTGTCACAAGATAAAAGTATAATTATAAAGAAAGCGGACAAATCGAACACTATCGTTATTATGAATACTGACGATTACCGACGGGAAGTTTTACGTCAACTCGAAAACAACAGCTACTATGAAAAATGTACGGAAGATCCTACAGAAATTATTAAATGTAACATATCGGAATGCATTGATAAGATTAAAGAAACAAACGACTGTATTTCAGATGAATTTGATGTATTTCCAACGAACATACGTACACCGTGTTTTTATATCTTACCTAAAACACACAAATCTCCAGACTTCACACTGCCATTAAAGTATCCGGGTAGACCTATTGTGTCAGGATGTAACTCACCGACAGAAAATATTTCAAAGTATCTCGACTTTATACTTAAACCACATATGCTTAGATTGCCATCATATGTAAAAGACACCACAGATTTCATCAACAAATTACGTAATATTAAACTACAAAGCAAAAACACATATTTGGTAACACTAGATGTCTCTTCACTTTATACTAATATACCACATACGGATGGAACTGATGCGTGTTTGTATTATTTAAGACAAGGAAATAATAACAGCAGACTTTCGTCAGATGAAATTGTTAAACTTTTGAAACTTATTCTTGAAAATAACTACTTCAAGTTCGGGGATGACTATTTTCTTCAGAAAATGGGTACCGCTATGGGAAGCCCAGTCGCCCCCGCGTACGCAGCACTTTTTATGGGGAAATTCGAAGAGGAGTTTTTGAAAGATAGTCAGCTTAAACCGTCATTGTGGCTTCGTTTTCTAGACGATATTTTTATGCTTTGGGATCATTCTCTTGAAGAACTTAACACATTTATTGACAAAATCAACAATGTTCACCCAAGCATTAAATTCACCCACACCATATCTCAACAATCTGTTTCGTTTCTTGATGTTCAAGTATCAAAAGGAAAATCGTACGAACTTCAAACTAATGTTTATGTAAAGGAAACTAACAACCACCAATATCTTGATTATACATCCTGTCATCCAAAACGGTGTAAAGACGGAATACCCCACAGTCAGGCTAAGCGTTACAGGAGAATTATATCCGACGACGACGTGTTCTCTACTTCACTGAGCAAACTACGAGAATTCTTCATAAGTAGAAATTTCCCTGAGACGGTTATAGATTCAGCGTTTCTTCACGTGTCACAGATGTCACAAGAGGATGCCTTACGGCCACAAGATAAAGAAAAGAAAAACGTTCTTCCATTTATTGTGACATATAATCCGTCCTTACCTAATATTGGAAATACTATTCATAAATATTGGGACCTACTAAATCTGTCAAAAAACGAAGGTGTTAAAAATATTCACAATAACTACACACCCATAATTGCCTATAAACGTCCAAGAAACTTACAAGACTTTTTAGTTAGATCTAGATTTGATACTGACAGTGACTTTACATCACATTCTGGAGGTTGTTGTAGAAAACGCTGTTCTCATTGTGTTCGTATTAATAGTGGTACGTCATTTTACAGTTCAAATACAGGAGAGATATTTGACTTACGTCAACATACTAACTGTCAAACCAAGAATTGTATATATTTGATAACATGTAAAAAATGTAGCATGCAGTATGTTGGTCAAACCAAACAACCTGTGTCTAAACGAATGAATAGCCATAAATTTGATATATGCAATTTTGTAGATCCTGCATTCTCCACTAATGTTGCAAATCATTTTAATAAGGACGATCATAATTTTACCGACTTTTCATTTATGCCCATAGATGTTGTTTACAATACTTTAGATCGTTTGTGCAAAGAAACATTTTGGATTCATAAGCTAAAAACTCATTTTCCAGAAGGAATGAACACAAAGTTGTTATACTCAATTAAATAATTCATAAAATATCAATCCACGCTACAAATGCTAGAATTACGCCACATAGATATTCCTTTTTTTCCTATTATCATTTTTTATAATTAAACCCTATAGGAAATATTCGTATTTATTAATCCGATATCTATTGTGTCGTTTTTATATTTTGATGCTTTGTTTGGTGCACTTATCTCTTTTATCATGAATTGGAATTGTTCGTATTTGTTCGTTTTTCCGCTAAAGTGGGCGTGACGTTAATTGTAAAATTACGACGTCATGTCCGTTGATATTATTATTATTTATTTACCTTGAAAAAGGCATACATTTGCCGAAACGTTGGAAAAATAAAAAATGATATTATACGTGTTATTGCTGTGACTTTATTATTTTAATAACCATGTACGAAATTTATACATAGTGCAAAACTTGCAATAATTTAGATTGACACTTTGAAACACAAACAATCATGCTAAATTATTGGCGTGTAGCATAAGAGCGAATCAGGAAATGTTAAGTTAAGTCCAAAATTACGCAATAAAATATACCTAAATATTTAATAAACAGGTTTATCATCTACATTTTCTGTAAATTATGAACTAATTTATTTCTTTTAAAAATGTCAGCTAAAGGAAAATTTTAAATAATGAGTATATTTTACTATTTCTGTAATTTCTGTAATTTTAAAGTTTTCAAATTTAACGCATGAATTTATACCTTATGAAATAAAGAAAAATACTTGAAAACAATAAAAATACATGAAAATAGAGAAAAATTACATAAAATCACATATAAAGTAAAATACAATAGCAGAGAAATACAATAAACATAGTTCAGCGAATATTTTTCTTTCTGATTTTGGGTGAAATTACCCCACCCTCTTCAACCAAGAATAAAAACTTACAAATTAGGCGATTGCTTCCATTTTTTTATAGCAACTTAAAACACTCATAGTATTTATGAAAAACAAATCAATATTAGAATGTTAGTAGCTACTTGGAATATTTTTGTTATTTTAGATAACTGTTTTAGAAAAATGGGCAAAAAGGGCATTTTTCTTTGATATTTTGAAAATTTTAGGTAAGAAACCTGAAAAGCTATATATTCCTTGGTTATCTCATTATAACATTATTATTTTTGAAATGTTTGTACACCTTTTAATCGAAAACAGCATAATATTTTCTGTAAAATTTACTATAATTGGATATATATATCTGTTTTGCATAAAATCAGCGGCCATATTAGACGCCATCTTGAATTCTGAAACGTTGTGAAAGCAAAATTTTGTAAGATTTGGATTTTTGTAAAGGAGAGACTATATGCTTGCTTTGGTGTAAGTTTCAGATTTGGACAAAAATTTTGATTAAATGGCCCTTCGCTCTTCAAAAGCTAATTATCATGTGTTTCTTTTCCTACTAGAAAATTGCCCAGCCAATTGGTACTTATTCCAAGGAAGCTGCTATTTCAGAAGCACAAAAGCTCTTGAATGGCTTAAAGCTGAAGTAAGTTTTACATCAGATTTAAGACTTTTCTATTTCTCAGTAAATACCTGAATATAGCCGTCTGAATGTGGTGTACAATATAATATCTAAGTATTTTTTTATTTTGATTTGATTGCAATTTCTTCAAGACTTGGTTTCAAAATATATCTTCCTGAAAGACTTAGACATGCGCCTGCAGTGTTATAAACTACTATTATAATGCCGGCATGGTAGAATTTTTCATGATTTTCACAGACAATAGAATTATATGACTTCATCGTGTTATTACTAGTCACTAACTTCAAATATGCTCTGGTGTTTATTGATATGTTTTACAGGAAGACTGTATCGCTTTGGGGGGACACCTGGTAGAGATCACAAGTGAGGAAGAGAACAACTTCACAAAGTCAATTCTAAGCGGTGGAAGCAGATGTAATGATAACAATGTGTCTTGTTGTTTAACATGACAATTGCTTGAGCCATAAAGAGCAATCACTGATCACATGTGTCGCCTGATGATAGCCAATTAAGCATTTAGCAGTTGTATTGATGGATGATTAACCTGTTTGTTTCCAATATATCGCAACTGTTGTGTAGTATGTTGTAGCTACTGCGCAGCAGGAGACACACAAATCATTAACAGGCTAAACAAGAGCTGTCGGTAGGACAGCAACGCTCGACTATTCTTAGTGCTTGATAGTAAAAAAAAATGCTTGATACAATTACCTCCTCCTGTTGTTTACAGGTTGGGGTAATGATGGTGAACAAGTGTGCAAAGTTTCAAAGCCATATGTCAATGGACTTTGAAAATATTTGAACTATTACAAAAACTTTAACGTAAATTCTAAGTTGAAAAAGGGGCATAATTCTGTCAAAATGCTTGATACAGTTACCTCCTCCTGTTTACAGGTTGGGGTAATGATGGTGAACAAGTGTGCAAAGTTTCAAAGCCATATGTCAGTGGACTTTGAAAATATTTGAGGTATTACAAAAACTTTCAAAAACTTTAACGTAAATTCTAAGTCGAAAAAGGGGCATAATTCTGTCAAAATGCTTGATACAGTTACCTCCTCCTGTCTACAGGTTGGGGTCATGATGGTGAACAAGTGTGCCAAGTTTCAAAGCCATATGTCAATGGACTTTGAAAATATTTGAACTATTACAAAAACTTTAACATAAGTGGTTACGCCGACGCGGACACCAACGCCGACGCTCGGGTGACTACAATAGCTCTACTTATTCTTATCGAATAGTCGAGCCCAAAGAGCTTTTTTATTCAAGGGCCATAACTCAGCCAAAAATCATTCAACTGTAAAACCAATCAATAATGCTCAAGGCCTTAAGGTTTTTATCAATCCTGTAGAGTTTGACTCAAATTGTGTTACAATGAAGTAGTAATAAGAAAAGTAGCCTAGATAAAACTAAAACAAGAGGGCCATGATGGCCCTGAAATCGCTCACCTTAATATAAAAACTCTCCATGAACATAAGAATATTAAATAAATTTTGACCCCACAAGGAAACTCAATGACCCCAGGGCTGACCAATTTTGGGTCAAGGGCTTTTATTTGAACAAACTTTGTAGACACCCACTAGAAGATGATTCATGCCAAATATCAAAGCTCTAGCTCTTTTGGTTCATCTAAGAGATGATTTTTTTTTCAGTTTAATATACATATCAGGAAAACCTATGACCCCCTTGCAGCGGGGAAAGTTTTGACCCCAGGGCTTTTATTTGAACAAACTTGGTAGACACTCACTAGAAGATGATTCATGCTGAATATCTTAGCTCTAGCTGTTTTTTAAGAGATGATTTTTTTTCCAATTTTTATTACATACATAATTATAGACCTTTTTACAGTACGATTTTCCATAGCAACGAATGTTGCATTTCGCGCATGCGCATTCTGCGTAGGGCAAAAAGCAATAACGATGTCTACAGTTTATCATACTTTAAGGCTTTAATAGATGCGATTTCATGTTATGTCACCCAAAAAATATTATAAATTTTGGGACGACTTAAGGCGGTAAGTACTGAAAACGTGATTTTTTTTTTAACAGATCTACGAAAATGTGCGGGAGTAATAATTCAATGGTCAAAACGGGCGCACACATGTTGTTGTTGTCTTTGTTTAAGGTACCATTAGAAGACTTTTCCATCAGTAATTTAAATTGAAACAGCAGGATGTTAACGATAAATTTTTATTACCCCTGTATTACATAATATTACACAATTTGTATTGTACACTTCATTTGACTAACTGGATTGGTCAGGCGGCAAGTGTCAAACAGATTGGCATGCGAACGTTTGTTCATTCAACCGGAACGTTTAAATATAATGATATAGTTAATCAGTTACGCTTATTAAAATGGTAATTTATGTAACTTTTAAATAATAATAATAATTTTTTATGGATTTTGAGAAGTGCAAAATTGTGTGACGTGCATTATTAAAAATAATTACGAAAAAGCGAATAAAATGTGTGTTATATCTTTTCCAAACAACCCATCTTAACTTGTCAAGATTTTGAAAAAAAATTTTAAATATTTAAAATCTATTTATGTGACTAAAATTTTTCTGTTTGCATCACAGGCAAATCAAATAAAGGCTATAATCAGGTATATTGAACACTAAAAATGCATTATCACCCGTTATGATATTCTTTCTGAATGATAATTAATCTCGATTTCATGTTATATAATTTCTTTTGTTTTTAAATGAACTATTTCAACAGCAAATAAGTTGACTTTTCATTTGCTAATAGATATATTTCCACATCTTCTTTAAAAAAAAAAGGATCTCAGTGTCAGGTCCGTGATCCTAAATTCTTAAACAAGTATCTTTTCCATGCCTTTTTATGGCATTCTTCGCCACAAAGCTATAAAATCATCTTTTCTATATTTGTTAAAAAGCTATTTTATATAATTTTCTACCGTTTACCTTGAACTAACTCGGAATTGTCCATGAACTTCTACTATATTTCTATTTAGGGCAAAGCATTTTTTGCCCTACGCAGATTGCTCATGCGTGAGAAAATTCTAATTCCGATCGATTTTAGCAACGGACCGCGTCGTAAAAAGGTCTATAGAAATTTTTTTGAGCCTCTGCATGGGATGGGGCCAATTTTGACCCTAGGACCTTTATTTGAACAAACTTGGTCGACACTCACTTGCACATGTTTCATGCCAAATATCAAAGCTCTAGCTCTTTGGAGTTTTTAAAAGAAGATTTTTCAAGTTTTTTGTTATTGTTGCCATTGCAAACAGAGTTCTGCATGGAATTAAAATTCTTTGAACAATTTTCAAAGGTGACTACGAAAGGAGCATTGCTGTGAAGTTTAGATGAAATGTGCTTTGTGGTTTTTGAGGAAATGTTGTTTAAATTAAAAGTAAGGATGACGGATGGACGGATGCCGGGCGAAATTTTAGCGATTTGTCACTTTGTGACAGGTGAGCTAAATAGTGGCCATCATTTTGACAAACATGATTGAACTGAAAATGTTGATGATTACAATGTACAACTGGACTTGGTACAATGAACTTTTCATTCCTGTAAATTATCATTCCTGTAAGGTTTAGATGTAGTTGTGCCAGCATTTTAAGAAAGAACGTGGTATGTAATATTTCTGTAAGAGGTCAGAAATATTAACACATAGAACAAGAGAATGTTAAAGGTTTCATTTTAAGCCTCAATACTAACGAAGTCAAATGGTTGAGAAAATAAGTTTTTCTCCTTTTTCTCATTATTCTTACACATGCTGGACATCTGGCATCTTTGTTGGGATGTGCCAGATAAATAACATCAGCTCCAATAAATCTCTTTTCGGTGCATTTTATAAATTAAAAGCGCATTCTTATGATGAAGTCATTTCGCCATTATGTGTGAAGTTGTGAATTAATACGAAACTTACAGAAAAGAAGTAACGACAAGCCTCGTTACCAACCAGAGTACAGGTCCCCCTCTTTTTAAGAATGATATCCTGAGATTCAGGCTGAAAGATACGATACATATTATCAATGTGTTGGTATGTTTTACTTTATCTGCAATATTATAAACAATTTAGTGAAATTAATTTTTATATTGCAATATTGCTATATCAAATCTTGCAATACTCACAGAATTATCAATTTAAGCTAGAAAGTTGTCCATAGGACATAGCAGGTGCCCCAACACTCCACTGTTTTGTCAATCTTATGACTCTAGGTCAAATATTTTTGGGCTACATGTGCCACAAATTGAAAGCTAAAATGTTTTATTAAGTCATGGGCAATTACTCTACAAATACTGGATAAATCCACAAGCCAAACCAAAGGTGCAAACTACACATGCTGATCAACATTCCTGTAAAGTTTCATGACTCAAATACATTTTGTGCTGTGTGCGACACAAAATGAGAATGGACGGACAGACAAATCTAAATGCCCCCGCCCCCCTAAAGAGAAGGCACACAAAAACAGCATAATCTTTGACGTAAAAGGTAGAGCTGAGTTAACTGATAAATGAATGAATGTTAAGTGAAAATCACTTTAGTATAAGCGTCTAAAATATTATAGTTGGATAAATATATTGAATTACCGATCAAATAAAATGCCTTAAACTTATTTTTTACAGTTTGGATTGGATTGAATGATATCAAAACTGAAGGAGACTTTGTCTGGGTATCAAGTGGAAATACGGCGTCTGGTGTGTACACGAAATGGGCGCCCACAGAGCCAAATGACACGTTAGGTAATGAGGATTGTGTGGAGCTATATAGCACAGGAGATTGGAAAGACAGGGATTGCTCAGAAGCCTGGCACTACATTTGTGAAAAGGCAAGCATGTGTTTGTTATTTTGATCAATTTTGAATGTATGTAATCAATAATTAGTAAAAAAAAACAGTAGGGAATCTGATGCTTAAGTATTTAATTGTTTAATGTGTAACATTAAGAAATCCAGCCTGCTAGTCATAATCAGAATTGATTGCTAAGCAGTATCATGTAGATAATGCAAATGTTTGAACATCAGAAAAGCATTTACACATTTCCATGTATTAAGAAGGCAACCTAATTATTAATATGAATATACATGTATGTGAACACACTTAGTATTTGTCATATTCAAATGAATTAATCATTGGCTATGTTGCGTGCAGTTGTTATTGATTGTAGCGTTTAGTTTTATCTTCTTTCTTTACTGAATCACTAACAGTTCTATACAGATTGTTTGTAATATTTCATGACTCATTTTGTACTTTACAGCTGCCTGATTAACGGCATCATTTACGGACTCTAGAATAACGACAGATCCTGGTGTCAACTAAAACATGATACGTCTATTCATTAAATAAATAACAAACTTACAATGACAATACTGAAAGAATGGGCAATACTACCGATCATGACAGTGGCTCGCTATCAATTTTGGCACAACTGGCAACAAACGAGGAAGTGATACTATGTCAAAGTTAATGTCAAAGTGAAGGTCTTATTAAAGGTTCTTCTAGTTATCAATTCCGGACAATGACTGGTACTCTCATTGAACTCTTCTAGCTTCAGAGTCATAAAGATCTTTACTTAAATGATAGTCTTCTACAAAGTTGTTCAGTCGAGTAAACTTAATGACTTTGAATTTCATGGGGGATTATTCTTCACCAAACATTACAAGATAGGGGGGGATTTTTAAACTAGTGGGATGTCTTTAAAACACATTTTAATCAACCAATATTTACAAACACAATCATTTCTAAATCATTTGAAAATAAAATTTGTTTTCTTATTTTTCTTTTATTTTTTTTATCAGCACTCATGTGTTATGTATATAGGCTTTATTTTAAATGTCTTGAGTATCTATTTCCTGAATGGCTCAGTACGTAGAGCGCAGGTAATCCCGATGTCGTGGGTTCGATAACTACTCATGCCACTGTCATCTTTTAATAATTTTGTTTATTTGATGTTTATATAATTTTTCATGTTTATTCATCTTCTTTCAAGAAAGTTCTTTTCATGTTCATTCTGGAATATTCATTCTCTATGTAGTTTAGTATTCTAGATTGTTCAATGATAGTATATATATTATGAATGTTTGAACTTCGAGGTGTGTGTGCTAATTTGTGATATTGTGTGATGTTGATATACTGATTGTGTGCTATTGTACTGCTTACATAGTAATATATATGTTTGGATTCTGTAATTCCGTGTGGGAAGTAATTTGGACATATTCTGATATTCTGCTATGGACATTGGACATTGATTAAATTTGAGTTGTAGACAATTGAATTTCGAACTGTGAGTTAAACTTAAGGACATTTGTTAAATTTGAATCTTGGATAATTGTGAGATAAACTTTACTTTCATTCTTTTTGTATTATTGTAAATTACTGTTTTTCTTTAATTAAAAATTGTAAAATTTGTTGCTGCATTATCTTCTCTGTTGCGTTAAGCTTGTAACACATGACATTTATCTTCATTTTCTTAAAGATATATTAAAGCAGCCTTCAGCTTTTCTAAAGGTTGAATATGTTATTTTTAGATAAACAGTTTCATATAATTGACAAATTAAAATAATTGAGGTGAAAAATGAAATTTGCAGATTATAAAATATGCAAACAATAATCAAATATAAATATAATTACGCTTCAAACCCAAAAATGAAAATATATAGAATTTATTTCAGAAATTCATGCTGGGATTTTTAACAATGGCATTTTAGCGTGATTTGAGTACATAAGATTATTTTAATATTTCTGCTATTTATTTGCCTGAGTATCCCTTTAATAGATAAAATTACTGACATACTTTGCAAGAAACAACATAGAATTTTTTTCCCTACAGAAAATAAAAGCTAAAGGCCGCTTAAAGTTCAAAATTTACCATTACAAATGTTTGTTAATATCTTATGCTAAATTAATTCTTAATAATCATTTTAATCCCAATTTTCTCCATCAAAATCTTTATTTCATTCTAATATATCCATCGTCGGATACCCACGATTGATAAACATGTCACATAACATGCATTCAATAATAAAATGATAAATGTTAATGGTTCGGCCGTGGGTATCTGACGATGAATATATCATCCTTTGTATGAACATGTATTTTAAATATTTCCATGTATTAATCAGATATGTTCACAATAAAATATTATTCCATTACAAAAATCTTTTGTTATATCTTTTAACAGTTCTTCACAAATGGATGAGCATTTCAATTACTTTTACTCTGTATTTAAACTCCAATTACTGGTAGACTGTGTCTTTGTATTTAACCCTTAGCCTCAAATTACTGGTAGACTGTGTATTTGTAATTAACCCTTAGCCTCAAATTACTGGTAGACTGTGTATTTATAATTAACCCTAAGCCTCAAATTACTGGTAGACTGTGTATTTGTATTTTACTCTTAGCCTTAAATTACTGGTAGACTGTCTATTTGTATGTCACATTTAGTCTTAAATTACTGGTACACTGTGTATTTGTATTTTACCCTTAGCCTTGAATTACTAGTAGACTGTGTTTTTGTATTTATCCCTTAGCCTCAAATTACTGATAGACTGTGTCTTTGTATTTAACCCTTAGCCTCCAATTAAAGGTAGACTTTGTATTTAACTCTTAGCCTCCAATAACTGGTAGACTGTGTATTTGTATTTCACCCTTAGCCTCCAATTACTGGTAGACTGTGTATTTGTATTTAACCCTTAGCTTCCAATTACTGGTAGACTGTGTATTTGTATTTAACCCTTAGCCTCCAATTACTGGTAGACTGTGTATTTGTATTTAACTCTTAGCCTTCAATTACTGGTAGACTGTGTATTTGTATTAAACCCTTAGCCTCCAATAAGTGATAGACTGTATATTTGTATTTAACTCTTAGCCTCCAATAACTGGTAGACTGTGTATTTGTATTTAACCCTTAGCCTTAAGTTACTGGTAGACTGTGTATTTGTATTTAACCCTTAGCCTTAAATTACTGGTAGACTGTGTATTTGTATTTAACCCTTAGCCTTAAATTACTGGTAGACTGTGTATTTGTATTTAACCCTTAGCCTTAAATTACTGGTAGACTGTGTATTTGTATTTAACCCTTAGCCTCCAATTACTGGTAGACTGTGTATTTGTATTTAACCCTTAGCCTCCAATTACTGGTAGACTGTGTATTTGTATTTAACCCTTAGCCTTAAATTACTGGTAGACTGTGTATTTGTATTTAACCCTTAGCCTCCAATTACTGGTAGACTGTGTATTTGTATTTAACCCTTAGCCTCCAATTACTGGTAGACTGTGAATTTGTATTTAACCCTTAGCTTCCAATTACTGGTAGACTGTGTATTTGTATCTAATCCTTAGCCTCAAATTACTGGTAGACTGTGTATTTGTATTTAACCCTTAGCATAAAATAACTGGTAGACTGTGTATATGTATTTCACCCTTAGCCCCGTATGCCTCCTAGAGCCAAGTAAGATTAGGGATTGCCATCAGACTAGAGCCTAAAGCCCGACCAGCTTACACATTTGTGCAGTTTGACCAGGCTCTATAGTGTTAGCTTATTTTTTTTATATTTTGATACTGAAAACCTTTAAAGCTGCATGCCTCTAGACGAGCCAACATTTTTTCAAGAAAATCAAACTTGAGAAAAATGTACAAAGTCATGAAGGAAAGTTAAAGTATTTGCTACCTGTGTTACCATATTTTTACATATTTTGATCCTTTTTTTGGTAATTTACATGGATTACACAGTTATTGAATTTAAGATTTTGAATTTACTGGCCCGAATTCCAGTTTTGAATTTAATCTACTATATGTTTAACTTAATTTTCTTAAAATTTACACTGGCCCGGTGGCCCATGGCCAGTGAAAATTAGTTCGGGCCAGTGTAAATTTTAAGAAAATTAAGTGCTAAATTTGATGACTGATTACAGGTGTTGTTTGCAATGTGTAAATTACTTTCTGTGTTCACTTCACAATATTTTCTTACATTTTCATACATTTTCAAAATTTTCATGAAAATTAGTATGAAAACCTGGAGGCAGGCTCCTGTAAACTTTGAATTATATAGACTGTTCTAAATTCCAAGACAGGTACATCCATTGCACACATTAAGCTAATAAATTAAGGGTTGAAAATTTAAATTAAAAATCATTTCACTCAGTTTGACATACATATGTATATAATATCATCTTTTCTGAACATATTTGTAAAAAGAACCTCAGGCTCTCAGTACAATAAAGCACAGATTAAATATAACTTCATGTAACAAAAACTCTTTCCCCTATTGGCTACAGAAAAACTGATTTCAATGCAAGACTTTTTTCCTTATGTTTAGGGCCTCTCAAATATCTCATAAAAGAACCACTACTATTGTTTGCTTTTTGCATATATAATTTCCTTATATCTAATGTCAATTTTCTTCCTTAAGTACAAACATGTAGTTTCCAAAAATAACCATTATACCATTATATTGAATTTGAATAATTATTGATATTTTCAAACAATCACAATGTTTTCTGCATTATCAATAATTGTAAATGACGGATAACCCACTTTAAAATAGGAGATACATGGGTATATTGTTAGCCTGGTCATATTTACTATATAAACCTATTAACTGCTAAACATATAATTACATTGTATCATCAATAAAAAATATCAATTACACCCTCTCTATCTATACTGCATAGGTTGATAGGACTATTCTGAATAAAAGATCATACCAAGGTGATAGATACCACTACAAATATGTGTTACTGCTATAAATATCATTAACAATCAATATCCTGAATCGACTTTTGAATGGAAGATTGTATAGTTAAGCAACCAAAAGTAAAGCATCTGTCTTAAATATGTAGTAGGTACCTTCAGCAACAAACAGAAAACAGAGTGTTTACTCCCAAGACAAAACACGCAGTCTCACCTGACTTATTGTCAGTAGCTTAGCCTTTATTATTAGGGAGCCAACAGAAAAGATACTATTTCGTTTAAACATATTTATTCAAGCTCGATTGCAAAACAAGTTCTTGCAACATATAATAATCACTTTTAAGTCTGCTTCCTGGAACTAACCAGTATTGGTGTCATATGAAGAATCATGGTCGTGACCTGATAAGGGCTTGAACCCATGATCCCTGGGTTGAGAGACAGACACCTTAACCACTTAGCCTCTGCTCTCCTTAAAAAGACTGTTTACTCAGTACTGATGTAGAAACTAAGTATACTGATAGCTAAGCTTTTATAAATTCTTTTTTTTTTAGGTTGGGTTTTATTTGTTTGTTTGTTTTGGGTTTTACGTCACATTGACACAGTATAGGTCATATCGTGATGTTACAGCTATACTGGTGGAGGAAGACCTCAGGTGCCCTTCCGTGCATTATTTCAGGCACGAATGGGTACCTGAGTAGAACAACTGGCGTTCCATAAGCTACCTGGACAGCTTCCTCACCTGAAAGAATCCCAAATCCCTTTTGGAATTTGAACCCACAGTGAATAATTTTAAAGTCAACAACCATAACCACTCCACCGTAAGACACCCCTGCCTCAATAATAAAATAACCAAACGAAGACTGTTCTTTTAGGATGAACATACAGGGTGGCCTGACTCTTTACTGGTAGCTTGAAAACCAACAAAATAGAGATTGTTAACTTATGTCTGACTTGCCCCCTGACCTAACAATTAATAAGCAAGTTTGTAACTTGACAACCAGAAAAAATAGCGATCTGACATGAAACTGGACCTAACACTATATTGGCAAGTAAGGTTCTTTGTTATTGTTAGCAATATGCTTACCTTTACAGACTTCAACCCACTGAGACGCCTCATCTTCTTGTTCAGAATCACTACTTTCTGTCTCCGTCTCACTCTTCTTTTTCTTCTTCTTTCTTGCCTTCTTTGATTTGTGTTTTGACTTTCTACTGTAAAACAGATAGGTTTTGTTTGTTTGTTTTGGGTTTACATCACATTGACACAGGTCATATCGCGACGTTCCAGCTTTACTGGTGGAGGAAGACCTCAAGTGCCCTTCCGTGCATTATTTCAGGCACGAACGGGCACCTGAGTAGATCCACCGACGTTCCGTAAAACAGATAGGAAACCAGGTGAATTAATGAAATTGTCCAGTCGTACTCTCTAACTATTGGTCAAGACATGTCATTATTATGTGCATTCATAATCAAATTAGTAATCAATGTTTTGCACAAATTTGCACATATAATGTTTCTGTTTCCGGGACTACCTTAGACTGAAAATATAGAAAGAAGTGTCTTCTCTATAATATCCGGTTGCAGCCATTTTCAAACCCAAAAGAAATTTTATCGTTTTATCATAAAATGTTGCGGGCAACTTACAAATCCGCGAGATTTCCTGCCGAAAACATACAAAATGTCGCAGGGAAGGTATAAGTCTCAATATTTTATAACAATTGTTGGAAACAGCAAAGAACATTTTGACATCGGTGGCCAGTAACGTCCATGGTTTGCCTCTACATTTTATCCTTTGTTTGTCTATAAAAAGTCAAGGAACAGAAAGAAATCCGCAACATTTTTTGCAAGTGTTGTAGATTCTACAAAAAGTCGGAGAAAAATTATTGGTCCCACAACAACGACTATTTCATAAAATGTCACAGATTTTCACACTCCACTTTTTGTGCAGAGACATTTCCTAGCACAAAAAGTCGAGGCTGAATATTCAAACTCGGCATTTTACATGATTATAATGGCTGCAACCGACTTCCTTAAGAAGGCATATGTTTGCCTGGCTTCATCTACTATGTAAACGAAAAATGTTGCAGTTTCCTTCGTAAAACTTGACTTTTTTCGACAGAAGAACTCAAGATGTTCTATAAGCTGCAACATTTTATATATTTTCGACATAAAATCTCGCAGATTTAAAAGTTGCCCGCAACATTTTATAAACTGACGGTAAAACCTGAAACTGATAAGCATATGCTACCAGTATACAGCCAGGCCAGCCTGGTGCCTTTGCAGTCTGACTCGGCTAAATACTATCTTTGAAATGTGACATGACTATCCTTTAAACTTTGAACTGACTGATCATAAAAAAGTTTAATTCAAAGAAAGGCAAATCCATTACACTAATTCAACAGGTTTATGGTTAAAAGATGCTGAAATGAAATAGTTCTGTTTTGATAATTATCAAATTCATTTGAACTTGGCATTCAAGAAAGAGAAAGAATAAAATATTTTACTTCCCTTTGTAAATAACAATTATAAAAGCCTTTAATTAAAAGCAAATCTGAGTTAAGATAAAGCAAAGAAAAGAAAAGTATATCCAATCTGGTCCACTCAAAACTCACCTCTTCTTACTGTGCTTTTTATGTTTCTTCTTTTTCTTCGACTTTTTCTTCTTTCTTTTTCTTCTTTCCTCTGGAATTTATAAAATGTATTTTAAACAATATACTCAAGTAAAAGTGTTTTCCTTCAAATTTCTTAACCCAAAAATAAAATAAACAAGCAATTATCATAGTATTGCAAGCAATCCGTAAGTCCCCTACCGGTTAGAGCCCCAGCAACATTCTGAAGGGCCATTGGCCATTCACTTATGTTTCTATGTTAAGTAAATTTGTTGAAAAAGTTCTTTAAAAGTGATCACAGGAAACAGTTTATATGTACAGACAGACAGATGGACTGAAGGACACTGAAGGAGTTCAAAGAAAATCCTATAATGATTGAAGAATTTGGAGTAAAAATTACCAATTTCTCGAAAAAAAGTTCAAATGGGGCATAATTCTGGAAAAAGTCTTGCTAGAGTATTGACCTTTCTCACAAATGTTGAGTGATAATAAGAAACATATATATGAAGTTTGAAGTAGATACATTCAGAAAAAAAGAAGTTATTGAAAAAAACAATATTTTTTTCATGAAAATTTTAAGTTCAAGGGAGGTAATTCTGATAAATTTTGTGCTAGAGTTGTAAACTGTGTCACATATGATGTGGTTGATGACTAGCAACTTATATTTAAAGTTTAAAGAAATAAAGAACTTATAGTGAAAAAAACTTAAAAACTTGAATCAGAAATCTTGAAATTCAGTCTATTTGTTGCCATAGCAACCAGAATTTTCAACAAAGGAAGATAAGAAAAGAATGTGCATAATTTCCAGACTGCCATCTACCCATATGTCAAGTTTCATAAAAATATTTTCAGTACTTTTTGCGTTATCACTTGATCCAGGTTATGTGTAAAATTTGCCATATTTTCAGTCTATTTGTTGTCATAGCAACCAGAATTTTCAACATAGGAAGAAAAGAAAAAGACGTGCATAATCTCCATACTGCCATCTATCCATATATCAAGTTTCATAAAAATATTTTCAGTACTTTTTGCGTTATCGCGGGATCCAATTTTGTTGACGGACGGACAGACGGAAGAACGGACGGACGGACAGTAAACCTAAAGTCCCCTCCGGTAATCCGGTAGGGGACTAACAAGGTACACTATATTATCTTGTAGATTCATTTTTATCATGAATCAAAATTAACTTATCTGATGTATATGTATAAAGTAAGTTTTACCTTCAGAAGAATCTGTTCCACTTGAATCTGAAATATCTTCACTTTCTGACTCAGACTCTTCAGACCTGTGAGAACATATAAAACAATTATGCTTCTATATTTAAAGATATACTATAATGCTCAAATTTGATATTAGAAAATATTGATAATTGCTACACAGTCTCTTTGTAAAAATAAAATAAACATGTTTTGACTTCACATAAAAGTAGATACGTTATGTTTAAAATTCTACACACTACACGTGATTACATTCACAATATGAATATTATAGTGTCATGAAAAATAAATGGCAGTTTTTTTTTAAGAAAAGACTAACTTTACTTGACCTGAAATAGGAAATGCAATTTTACATACATAGTTTATTTATTTTTTTCATTCAACTGCATATTCAGTAAGAATTACATAGATTTTAATAAATTTTTGTGATAAAAATATTATACTCAATGATGAGCATAGCAATATCTTTAACAAGAATTCAATATTTTAGTCAAAGATTGCAGGTTTCGAACAGATTATTAAGTTTTAAAATAAGTTTTTTAGGGGAAAAAATACCTGTATCTCAAATTATAAATCACTTTTATCACATACATGTGTTGCTTTTGCTTCTCCATAAAAATGGTATTGCACTGCATTTATAATTTTTACGTGATGTTAACAACAGGTTAACAGTGTAACATTATAGGCCCTTCTATGAATAAATAGTTGTTTTAACTGAAAAATGGTTCTTTATCATGTATGTGATAAAGTATTACATTCCTGTAAGTTGATTACTAAATTTATTGAACTTGTTGAATGAAATAATACTATGTTCACCAGAGGCTTGCATAATATAACTTTATTCGACCCATTTAATAAATTGAGTATTGAATCATTTAATATTCGAGATATATATAATACACATGCAAGTTGTAATTTACTATTGGGTAGAATAAGTACATTTCCCAAGTACTTTTATAAATGAGCCGTGTCACGACAAAACCAACATAGTGCGTTTGCGACCAGCATGGATCCAGACCAGCCTGCTCATCCACGCAGTCTGATCAGGATCCATGCTGTTCGCTATCAGTTTCTTTACTTGTAATAGAATTGATAAGCGAACAGCATGAATCCTGATCAGACTGCGCAAATGCGCAGGCTCGTCTGGATCCATGCTGGTCGCAAACGCATTATGTTGGTTTTGTCATGACACAAATTATTTTTATCAAAATGCTAAATAGCTGTCCAATAATGTTCAAGGTGTTAATGAGAATTAATGGTCAGAACTTACTCAGATTTTTGCGGGGAAGGAGAGCGCCCCCACACTTCTGGAACACCTGCAGCCCCTAACCGCTCCCTGTCTGTTCTACGTCTGTAATAAAAATACAGAAATGTCACATTAAACAAGTCATATTTCTTATGCAATACAAATCATATCAAAATAGTTTAACAGTTTAAGTACCAATTTAAAAGAAATTGAAAATAGATTATCATGCTAAAAACCTTAATCACATCAAAAACTGCATCTATGTTTTTCTTTGGATTGTTTGTTTGTTTGGATTTTAAGTCTGACCAACACAGTAAAGCTCATGCAGTGATTTTCCAGCTTTACTGGTAAAGGAAGACCTCAGGTGTCTCTTCAAGCATTATTTCAGGCACAAACATTAGCACCCGAGTAGAACCACTGATGTTCCGTAAGCTAGCTGAATGGCTTCCTCACATGAAAAAGTCCAAAGACAGGATTTAACCCACAGAGCCAGTAATTTAGAGTATGTGACACTAACCTCAGAGACACTAAGTTTTTCACAATAATAGTAGATTCAAAAAGACCTTAAATTAAATTCAAGCAGTCCATTCTTTATGCTTGAAGAAAAGTTCTGAAGTTAATAAAGGTACAATATGATCCAAATACATGTCATGCACACTTTCTTTATGGCTGGAAAAAAATGTTATCAAACCTGCTCAAAAGGAATTTGTGAATTAAAATTCAGAGTTTTGAAAGACTTAATGAATAAACTTTACACATCAGTAAAGTATATATTGTAAAAGTCCATACAGACATTTTCGAGAGTTATCATACAGATATTTAGGCAAAACTTAAATTGCCCAATAGAATTTCTTTAGATGTTGTTTTAGAATATGATAAGCGAAAAAAGAAATCAGGGTCACCGTTCTCTTTTTTGAGTTACCTTCCCTTGAATCAGAAATATCTAGTTATTTGTATGTATGCACATAGAATTATCTAGTTATTTGTATGTATGCAAATAATTTTTACTTCATTATATAATCAACAATATCTTAGACTATTTAATGATATATATTTATCATTTGTGTATTGTTGTTTTATCAAACATGAGATGAATGTTTACAAGAAGATACTTTCTTCGCAGGTCATAAACTAATATTTTGTCCTTAAAAGTTATTAAAAATTCATATGTCTAGTAAATTGTTTGTTTGTTTTTGTTTTGGGTTTTACGTCACATCGACACAGTATAGGTCATGTTGCGACGTTCCAGCTTTACTGGTGGAGGAAGACCTCAGGTGCCCTTTCGTGCATTATTTCAGGCCCGAACGGGCACCTGAGTAGAACCACCGACGTACCGTAAGCTAGCTGGATAGCTTCCTCACATGAAAGAATCCAAAGTCCCTGTTGGGATTCGAACCCACAGCGACTGAATTTCGCAGACTGAACATTTTGTAAAAGCAGCAATGTTATCTAAAAGCCACAATATTGAAGGATGGGAAATAATTGACAAACCTGTTGAAAAATTCTCCCTGCTGGTCACTGTGGTTAGGCCTGTGACCATTTTCCTTTGGCTGTCTCCAAATTCTGCTCTCTTTCCTAACAGGTGACCTTGACTTCTGTTCCATAGGTGAATTGCTTCTTGACCTTGACCTTTTTCTAGGTGGACTGTTCCTTTGTTTATAACTGTTCTTCCTTTCATCATAAGGAGACCTTGACCTTTTTCTAGGTAGACTGTTCCTTTGTTTATAATTACTCTTTCTATCATTATAAGGTGACCTTGATCTTTTTCTAGGTGGACTATATTTTTGTTTATAATCGCTCTTCCTGTCGTCATGAGGCGACCTTGACCTTATATTATCTCTGTTGTTTCTTCTATCATATTTTGTTTCTTTTCGTTCTGGTGATTCAGATAATGACCTTGACCTTCTACTCGCATGTGATTTCTTTAATCTCTTGCCCTTAGGTGACGGTGACCTTGAACTTGAATATCTTTTCCTAGACTTTTTGTACTTATTGTCTGAATATGAATCATCACTGTCATAACTAGAACTTGACATCTTGTTGTTTAAGGTGTCTTGTCTTACTGGTTTTTCTCTCAGGAAATCTAAATAATATGTAAAATTTGCTGAAATTAAGTGTCTTTAAGCACAGAAAATTAAAATATCATCTGAACCTGTAATACAAATAAGGCTAAGCCTCAAAGCAAGCTGGCTTGACAGTATATATCATATATATAATTTATTGTAGTAAATATATAACACTATTATGTATTTATTAAACCCTCTGGCTGGAATTTTTTTTCACCAAGTCAGCTTACTTTCCGCTGAATAATTCACTCAACACTTCTACACGCTACTTTTTCATTTGAAAATACATCCATTCTATGTTCTATATATTATCGAAATTGAAACACCCTGTCGGAGAACATAATTTTGCTTAAAAAAGCAAAATCTGAGAATCATATTTCGGGATTAATAATTTCATTTCGAGAAAAGGATATCATGAAACAGCATACTGAAGTTAATATTGACTTGGCCTCTTTGTCAATCTATTCTATATCAGGATTATCCTAAAATACTATAATTATAGAACTAAACTATAGTCCAATATATTATATACATCAAGAAAGGATAAGTAAGAAGAAAATTACATGGCAACACCAGGGATGTTTATGTTATTTTATTATCTACCGGTTTCGACCTTCCGTGAGGTCTTCATCAGGATAAATTTTGACAGAAATTTGGGTCTGAAGTATTAAAAATGTATAGGATGGTAAGTCACATGACTGACCAAAATAGTAACAACAAGTGCAACGATATATGCTATATATATAAAAATAGAATAAGATTTGGCTCAGTGCCAGAATGTTGTTAAGTCCATGTGTAATAGTTATTAAAGTAAAAATATAGTTTTAGAGAGTCCAGTGCTTTCTGATTATTGAAAAGTTCCATAAATAAAAATACACAAATAAATTGTTCTTTTGTGTCACCATAAGTATTACTATTTCTATGTTATGCACTTTTTTTAATGTAAATATATGTTGGCATCAGTAGTTTTAATGTACAGTCTAGTATAGAGGGTGCCATGTACATCCATAACTATTTATGAGCTTCTTTCATGGCTGGCGATTTCATACGTAATTTTGATAAAGGAGTGAAAATCGTTCAAGTGGGCCAAGAAGGAATACAATTCCCCACAACGATGTGGCCAAATGGTAAAAATGTCATCAATATATCTGAACCATATGAGTGGTTCTATTTGTTGAGTGGCAAGAAATCTCTCTTCTAAGTACGCCATGGATGAAATAGGATAATTCTGGGTATCAAAGTCAGTATGTGCTTCTTCCCACTGTATTTGTGAAGTTGAGCTGATAACTGGTACTTGTGGTATGAATGACTTAAGGATGGATTTTGTTCTTATGTACTTTTCTAAGTATAAAATATTATATTGTGTTCGGGTCTTTTGAACATGAAGTTTATTTGAGAATTTAAATCTTGAGACTTTTGGTTCGTCAATTTTGCGCTGTTTCTGACCTTCCGTTGTTTGTCTCATCTTCGGATTTAATTTAGACCTTTCCTGTTCCGGAAGTGTTGCTATGGACGTTGTTGCCGAAAGTAAATGTAATTTGGTTTCTGATTGTTCGGATTGTGTGAGTGAATACATCTGGTTTCGTTTTCGTTGCAATTTCCCTTTCCAAGGGCTCCGATGCTGCATTTTGTGATGGATCAAAAAAACTGGATACACGGCGGGTATATAACAATTTTTAATCCCAGCCCACACCACGTGTTTAGCTGGATGGTTATCCCGGCGAATATATTATATACATGTTGAATATATTACAGGCTTGATATAGTTTATGATGGTCAAGCCTGACATCTAATAAGCATTGTTTAGAGCTGTCATTGATTCAGTGGAAAGCATATATTGATATCCAATGACAAATATCAACAATACACAAATATATTGATTATTACCTATAATAACTTATCTGTCATTCACTTCCAACTTGTTTAAATGATTTCTGTAAAATACATGTTCTGTACAGTGTATTATTTTATAAATGCCCATTGAGTGATTTTTTTCTGACCATTTATTTGTCATCATTGGTTTGAAATATTATATTATGTAACAACAGCATAATGTTAGACATGGACACCTGCTTCTGAATATGTTTTAACTTTTAGGTGAATTTTTATAATTTCTAGACATTGAATTAATCACAATTATCGATTTTTAGAAATTTGTATTCATTATTGATTGACAGAAAAATATCAACTATACATCAACTGATCAATATTTTTTCTCTTGAATACAGCTCTACTTATGCTCATACATGCAGATGCATACGAACATTAAAAAGTTGTGCTATGGGTTTATACGAGCTTTATGGTAAAGCCAGTACCTGCTAGTGATGGTTTAAAAAAACTTAAGCCAGAAGTGCTGCAAAATGACACATCGCAACTTTTAGGCAGGTCTATAATCAAAGAGATATCAAGATCATTTTGGACGGACTATGTCTTACGTTTTGACAGTAAGAAAAAAAAATTGTTGAATGGGTCAAAGACTCAAACCGTTCACAACAAATTAATTTGGCTAGGCTGATCTCCTATGCTGCGGTGTGACTTCTATGGGAACCATTATAGACAGGGAACCAGAATAAACAGAAGCAGTGCATGAAATACGGAATGGCAGTTTTAAAACGGAAAATGTAAATTGTGAGTGAATTGTGTGACCAAAAGTGTGCAGTTCTGAGTGTACTAAAAACCGGATTTTATACTTTTGTTCATCTCTAAAGTTTAATTAAACCATACTATTACCAAAAAAATACTGAATATTTACAGAAAAATTAAAAGCTCGCGAAAATATATTAAATCTAGGTATTTACAGTGTTTAAATATACTGGCATGCGAGCAGTTCCCGTACAGAAGCAGTACCCGTATTTTTCATTTAAACGCTTGATTTTTACTTGCATTCTTCAAAAATTCATTTCAAATCAAGCAGATACATAAACGAGACAAAATCTAAGTGTCAGTTCGGCAGTACGTATATAAAGTCTCATTTTTAAATCACTTTCACCTGTGCGTCGTCAAAACGTGACCTTGTTTTCTCTGGGGATTCCGTCCTTGCGCGCATGCGCAAAAATACTTACACGTGAGGCTTGTTAAAGGGTTTTTCCACTAATACCACCTGTTTACAAATAAGTAGGCAATGTGATGTAAACTTGTTTAATTATCAGAATGTTGACCAATATTACTATATATAATAATTTTATGGCTTTGATGCGTAAAATATCATGCATACAAGCATGATATTGCATGTGAATGCGTTGGGGTATAACGGTACCGGGTAATTGATACCCGCGTTTAGTCTACGCTCTATTTCCTGAATTACATCTATTTATCTCTTAGATAATGGTCTGTTCAACAATTGTAAATGAAAAATAGGTCCTATATAATAAAATTGTATAATAATAATGGTTTAGATTTTATGTACGGGAAATACTTCTCTTCTTACAATATAATGGATAATTTCGGTACCCCATATGAGGCCTCATAACTAAGGGTTATTCTATGTTTAGAACATAATGGAATTTCCATGATTTGTGTGACGAGCTGAATATTGATGTGTAACATTCAAATTTTGGTGAGTGAGCGTAATAAACAAGAGCTGTCCGTAAGACAGCGCGCTCGACTTTTTTATTGCTTGCCAATAAAAAAAGTTTTTGCAGTAAAAGGCAATACAAGAATCTCTGTATTTTTAAAGTGAACAATGGCCATGAGCATTAAGATATTTAGTGAAGAATTATTTTACTGAATTGTGTGATACGTAATGTTTATATGACATAATTTATGGTAAAGTGAACAAGTGGATAGGAATGAATTTTTTTAGATTTTTTAAGTTTTTTAGTGCTTGCCTATAATACAAAACATTGACAGTTAAGGGCCATAATTCAAATAAAATCTTTGACAGAATTACCTTCTCCTGGACATGTTTGGGAATCATGATTGTAAACAAGTATTCCAACTTTCAAATTAATATCTCAAACAGTTCAGTCAAAAAGTGGACTGGTACTAAAAACTTACCCAAGATTCTAAGTCGATAAAAGGCCTTAATTTTTAAAACAAATCCTTGACAGAGTTACCTTCTCTTGCGTACAGATGGGGGTAATGATGTGAAATAGCATTAAAAGTTTCAAAGCAATATCTCAAAGGGTTAAGGCAATAAGTGGATTTTACCCATATTCAATGTATTTTCTAAGTCAAAAAGGGGCATAATTCTGTCAAAAACCTTGACAGAGTTATGTCCTCTTGTCTGTTGATGAAGGTCGTGATGGTAAACAAGTATGGTCAGTTTCAAAGCAATACCTCCAATGGTTTTGAAATAAAGTGAGGTGGTACAAAAAACTTAACCAAGCTCAATACACTTTCTAAGTCAAAAAAGGGCCATAATTCTGTCAAAAACCTTGACAGAGTTATGTACTCTTGTCTGTAGATGGAGGTTATGATGGTGAACAAGTATGGTAAGTTTCAAAGCCATACTTGTAATACTTCTGGAATAAAGTGGGGTGGTACGAAAAACTTAACCAAGGTGTGACGCCGACGCCGACGCCGACGCCGGGGCGAGTAGGATAGCTCCCCTTTTCATAGAAAAGTCGAGCTAAAAATAATGTTTAAGTAACTATGATTTTTGTACGGGAACTGCTCGCATGCCAGTACTCTGAGAAAGAATGAATGATTCACAAAAACAAATATGGTGAAATTTATAACATTAAATATATCATAATCACCTGCATAAAATATAAATCGACTGAAATCAAAAATTTGATGAGAAAAAATTTACTTTGTAATCCGTATCTCTAACGTCTTGTTTTTACCATAATCGGAGTACTCCAAACGACTGCATAACAGCAGTGTAAACTAGACTACTGTTTATCAGTTTACTTTACACTCATAGCAGTATGAATCCTCGATAGTATAGTGGTGAGTATCCCCGCCTGTCACGCGGGAGACCGGGGTTCAATTCCCCGTCGGGGAGGTTCATTTTTTTTTTATATATTTATGCAATATATAGCTTTTATTATTAATTGACATTCACTGTGAAAGTTTACCTATATCATGTTATAGTCTCTTTTGTTGTTCAAATATACGAGTCATAAAGTAACTGTATCCTTTTAACTCACTAGAACCAAAGGTTTATGTTCTAAATGGGCTATAAACTATAATAAGATATATCCTAATATACATATAAAGGCCATTTATGTAAAATACTTGATTATGTGACTAACACCTGTGCTTCAGGGTGAGCTATCACAGGTGCTTGGCACATGGCCATGACTTACACTATATCCCAGTTCCCCCTACACAACCTAAAACCCTTAAACATCATCCATACATCATTAGTATTGACAAAAATCAATTACATAAGAGTTCAAAACAATTTTTTAGTCATGTTTTTTTTATATTTATATATATACTTGATTTTTGTCAATACTTATGATGTATAAGGGTTTTGGGGTTGCAGAGGAAGAAAGATGGTATAGTGTGAATCATGGCCAAGCACAGAACACCTGTGGAGCTATTAGTATCAATTGGGGATGCTCTGGCGTCCGTTGTTTGTTGTCATGCGTCAACATTCATACTGCTGGGCAGATTTACTTCAAATGTGTATCATCCTTGTGACAGTCACACTTAAATTTGCAACCCGTACGAAAACTTCCGCCCTGAAAAAAGCAGAAATTCCGCCTAGCTACTAGGCGTGATCCGTCTAAGGCATTTCAGGTTTACATATCACAGATTCCTCCTATAAGCAGGAATACGCTGCGAAATATGCAAATTTTCTTAGGAGGAAAAACAGTTAGGGTAGCAGGAAAAAAATCCTCCTTAGAAAATTTAACCAGGAAAAAATTCAGCTTAAGGAAAGCACTAGCAGGAGAAAATTCCGCCTTAGGAAAATTCTTAGCCGGAAAAAATTCCGCCTAAAATATTTTAACCAGGAAAAAAATACCTACTTAGAAAATCACTAGCAGGAGAAAATTCTTCCTAAGGAATACTAGCAAAAAATCCGCCTAAGGAAATGAAGTTATTCAATTTTGTGATAGTACACTAATAAAGCTGAATTATGGATGGATACAACATTATTATTTAGCTGCATAAGAATAATTGGAATCCAAAATTGCAGACAGACAATAGGTGATCACAATTACAATGCTTTTAAGTTATTTTTGTGAGCTTTACCATAATGTATTCTACATTAGGGTGCATGTACAGTACGTAAAAGAGTCACACAAAAAACAGAAACACGAGTTATATTTTTTATTGCACTGCTATTGTATTGTTTTAATCCATGGCAAATTATTTCATTTTATTTCACTGTAAAAGTTTTTTGTTCAGCCAGTTGTTTTCATTTTTATTCCAAGCATAACTGATCTGCTTTAAGTTATGGCATCGTTAATATCCTTGTCCTTGACTCCTCCTCTCCCATTCTTTTTACACCAGCTTGAGACATATCCTGAAACACAAACAGTCATCAGTAAAACACTGCCACCACTAATATCTTATATTATTGTTTCTTGTCATTGTATGCAGTTATAATTATACATGCATTTAAACTATAATTCATTACAACCAAACTTAGTGTTACAAATTTACTCTCAAACTTAATGCAAAATTATTTAATTTATTTGAAATATATTTTATTGTTTAAATGTATCCAAAAGTTACTTACCTGGAATTTTTATGATATTGGTATTTATCTTCTTATCCAAGGTCATAATGTAGCATTCAAAATTCATTTACAACTGAGCATATCCAGATTATTGTCATTTTCATTCACAAGGTTAAGTCTTATTTTTTTTTTCTTTGAAAAATTCAAAAAATATTCAATCCTTACACTTTAAAACAAAATATTATCTCAAAAATTGCTTATATATTATCACCACAATTTTTAACTATCAATAAAATCCTTTGTTATTTGCTTTCTTTCCCACTGTCTCAGCTTCTGCTGACCCATATTTCCTAGATTTCAAATTATGGACAAGTCCATGATATGATGGTAAACAGGGATAATCCAACCCATCGTTTTATTTTCACAATTATATAAAAATACCAGAAAATAAATGGAAAAAGAATCCAAAATTCATAATAAATATCTTTAAAAAAAACTTTGCAAAGTCCTTCTTTACAGACTCATCATATAAAATGTACAAAGTAACTGTTTCTTCCCCCCAAATAAATCACATGGAACAGTCTGGACTGTAGCAGAATTTACGATCTGACCTGTGTGTTATCAGGTCTATGGTGTTAAATCATAGTAGAGTGGTTACTAGAGGCAGTATTTATTTATTTATCCTGGTGATAAGAAATTTTCAGGGATATTACTCATTTAATTATATTACATTAAAGAGCTTAATATATGAGTTTAGTTCATACCCAAATTTAACACAGTGAAATATATTCTATGCAAAAGTCATCACAACATCATTATATATGTTCTAAGTTTTAGTTTTGTTGTGGAGTTTTTTTTATCAATTAATGATTATGTATGTTTATGTTTGTACAAACAATATTTTAGTTTTGAAAATTAACAATGAATAAAAGCAGCAAAATAATTGTTGATCACTTAATATTCGATTTATCATTTACCTGTCATCTGCAGAAATTTCTCCAAATTCAGAAATCTGTCTAGTAAAATTTTCTAAGTTCAATTTCTGGTTAACAAAAAACTCTAAGTACATAATTCCTGTTAACAAATAACTGACAAAATTCTAAGTCCTAAAACCCGTCTAAATTATTGCTCATCCCATATTTTCCGCCTAAGCCTTAGGCGGAATATGAAATTGCTTAGCAGGATTTTTTACAAAATTCTGTGTCCGTCTTAAATTAGCAGGAAAATCTTATATACACGGAAATTTTAAGCGTTTTCCTGCTAATATTAGGCGGAATCCTACTATCTTTTTCGTACGGGTTCTGTCATTTCAATTGGCCCCTTTTTAAGGGTCATAGAATTTTTTTTTAACATCTTCTTCTACTGAACTAATTGATGGATGATCACCAAACTTTTTCTGTAGCATTCTTAGGTAGTATTTTATCAAATTTGCGCATATTAATTTGATTGGCCCTTTTTAGGGGCATACAGAGCTAAAAGTAGAAAAACTTTTAAACATCTTCTCCTACTGAACTAATTGATGGATGATCAGCAAACTTTGTCTGTAGCTTTTTAAGGTAGTCTTTTATTAAATTTGATGTCATGTCAAACATTTCCATTCCCATCATGTCAAATATTTCCATTCCCATCATGTCAAATATTTCCAGTACCATCATGTCAAATATTTCAGTCCTGTCATGTCAAATATTTCCAGTACCATCATGTCAAATATTTCAGTCCTGTCATGTCAAATATATCAGTCCTGTCATGTCAAATATTTCCAGTACCATCATGTCAAATATTTCAAGTCCCATCATGTCAAATACTTCCAGTCCTGACATGTCAAATATCTACAGTCCCATCATGTCAAATATTTCAGTCCTGTCATGTCAAATATTTCAAGTCCCATCATGTCAAATATTTCCAGTACCATCATGTCAAATATTTCCAGTCCCATCATGTCAAATATTTCCAGTCCCATCATGTTAAATATTTACAGTCCCATCATGTCAAATATGTCCAGTCACATCATGCGTCAAATATTTCAGTCCTGTCATGTCAAATATTTCAGTCCTGTCATGTCAATATTTCCAGTCACATCATGACAAATATTTCAGTCCTGTCATGTCAATATTTACAGTCCCATCATGTCAAATATTTCCAGTACCATCATGTCAAATATTTCAGTCCTGTCATGTCAAATATTTCCAGTCCCATCATGTCAAATATTTCCAGTACCATCATGTCAAATATTTCCAGTCCCATCATGTCAAATACTTCCAGTCCTGACATGTCAAATATTTCCAGTCCCATCATGTTAAATATTTACAGTCCCATCATGTCAAATATTTCAGTCCTGTCATGACAAATATGTCCAGTCCTGTCATGTCAAATATGTCCAGTCTCATCATGTCAAATATTTCCAGTCCCATCATGTCAGATATTTCCAGTCCCATCATGTCAAATATTTCCAGTCCCATCATGTCAAATTCTTCCAGTCCTGACATGTCAAATATTTACAGTCCCATCATGTTAAATATTTACAGTCCACTCCCATCATGTCAAATATTTCAGTCCTGTCATGACAAATATTTCAGTCCTGTCATGTCAAATATTTCCAGTCCTGTCATGTCAATATTTCCAGTCCCATCATGTCAAATACCTCCAGTCCTGACATGTCAAATATTTACAGTCCCATCATGTCAAATATTTCAGTCCTGTCATGACAAATATGTCCAGTCCTGTCATGTCAAATATGTCCAGTCTCATCATGTCAAATATTTCCAGTCTCATCATGTCAAATATTTCCAGATCCATCATGTCAAATATTTCCAGTCCCATCATGTCAAATATTTCCAGTCCTGTCATGACAAATATTGTCCAGTCCTGTCATGACAAATATTGTCCAGTCCTGTCATGTCAAATATTTCCAGTCCCATCATGTCAAATATTTCCAGTCCCATCATGTCAAATATTTCCAGTCCCGTCATGACAAATATTTTCCAGTCCTGTCATGTCAAATATTTCCAGTCCCATCATGTCAAATATTTCCAGTCCCATCATGTCAAATATTTCCAGTCCCATCATGTCAAATATTTCCAGTCCCGTCATGTCAAATATTTCCAGTCCTGTCATGTCAAATATTTCCAGTCCTGTCATGTCAAATATTTCCAGTCCCGTCATGTCAAATATGTCCAGTCCCGTCATGTCAAATATTTCCGGTCCTTTC